ATATTTGGGAGCTTAGATTTAAAAAAAAAATCTCTTTCCATCAAATCCTTCTAGAGCAAATCTAGCAAAACATAGGGTGGAGACACTGGGAACTGGCTGGGCTGCCAGGTGAATTCCAGTTTGGACCCAACATCACTACAAAAACTTGGAATTTCCTAGAAGCATTAGAAGAAACTAGCTCTACTTTTCCAGGAGGTTAGTTTATTGATTCATTATCCACTTTAGGTCAAGCAGTTTGCCAAGAGCTGTGGATACACAGATGATTTTGACATAATTCCTAGCCCTCAAGGAGAAGTGAGAATGAGATTCAGACAAGTGAACTGTCCATGATGTGGTGCTTGATAAGGGCTATGATGGGATGAAGGGAGCGTGGGGTGCTAGGCTTCACCAAAGGCAGGCAGAGGAAGTGTCTGCTGGCAGCATGAAAATTAAGGCTCTGTCTATGCTGGAAAATTAAGGCTCTGTCTATGCTGAAAAGCCTAGTGGGGGCTGGCATTTCTCAGTTTTCCTTGCCTAGTAGGTGAAAATTTATTTAGCTAGGGTACAATGCTTCTGGCCCTAATGAGGTACTTCCCTTCATGGGCAGTATTTTTGTGATTGGTAAAATAAATGCATCTTCCTCAATTGATATCAGGCAAATGCGAAGAGAGGAGACAGGGTGATGGGCCACAGAGATGGAGAAATGAGTCTGTCTTTCTACATACAAGTGCTTTTTCATCTATGTGTTGTTAGCCATAGAAAAAATAGCAATTCATAAGACCCGTTTTAATAAAGGAATTGCAGGCATCAAAGAAAAGAGGGTGTTTTCTGGGCTTGTTAAGAATTGAAGCTCATCTCTACCATTCAGGAAGAAAATCCATCAGGCTTTTATTGTTCTCAGTGCCTAATGGACTACATGAAACTCAATTTATGTACAGCAAGTTGGACATTAGAAGTACTTAGCAGGCAATTAACATTAGCAGCCAACAACCAGAGTTGGTTAAATACCTACTGGCCTGAGGCAATCCTCACTAGTGATATAAGTTATTCTTAAAAGGAATCAGCTCCCATCCTCTTGGTTATGTTTCTTAAAATTGGATTCAAGGATCAGCTGTATCAGAACCATAGAGGGTACTTGTTACAAATACAGGTTCTCAGGTCCCTCTTCCAGATCTTGATTCAGAATCTCTTTAAGTAATGACACTATACATGCATTTCTTTTTTCTTTTCTTTTCTTTCCTTTTCTGAGATGGAGTCTCACTCTGTTGTCCAGGCTAGAGTGCAGTGGCATGAGCTCGGCTCCTTGCAACCTTTGCCTCCTAGGTTCAAGTGATCCTGTATCAGTCTCTTGAGTAGCTGGGATTACTGGGATTACAGGCATGTGCCACCATGCCCAGCTAATTTGTGTATTTTTAGTAGAGACGGGGTTTTGCCATGTTGGCCAGGCTGGTCTCGAACCTCTGAGTGATTTACCTGCATTGGCCTCTCAAAGTGCTAGGATTACAGGCATGAACCACCACAACCGTCCCTACAAATGCATTTAAAAAAATAAATTTCTCAATGATTTTTATGGATGCCACAGTTTGGGGAACACTCCTATGGCAATTTACAATCTTAGAATGCAATCTGGCACAGACATACACATAAAGCGAGAATATGCGGAGGGAAATATAAAGAACACATTTAATTCGTGGTAATAAATGTAGATTGAAAGAGAAGAAATAACACTCATGACATTGCAGTCCCAGAAACCATTAAAACACAATTCGATTTTTCTTGCTAAAAAGTACCAACCACAGAGATGCTAATTGCTGACTAGTCCTAGATCCAGGAGTTTTAGATCAATTTTCTAGTGGTTTTACCTGGCTCTTGTACTACATATATCTTGCTAGGGGTAAGTTCAGGGACTACTTCAGAAGCACCAGTGGCACCTTGGCCTAAATATATATTTCAAACCAGAACAAATTTTATTCTACAATAATAGCCAGGATCCGGGATGAGGGGTCATTCTATCTCAGCCAGGAAAAATTGCACAAATTTTATCAGCAGCTTTACAGGCCATTTTCTCAATTGTCCAAGCCTCGGTTAACAGACTTGCAGATTTAGAATCCCACCTCTCCTTGGCCGCTCTTCATCTCATCACAGATGCTGATGTCTCTCTTCTTCTCAGCCCCTTCCCTCTTCCCTGAGTTTAAGGGCCATCTATTCCTAGAAGTCCCTGCTAAACAAGTAACTGAAGGTTTTAATCCACAATGGCTAAAGCTAATTTGATGAATGAGATAATTGAAAGACAAAAAAAAAGAAGGCTTAAAAGTCTGCATCAAGTTCTTAGATACATTGTATAAAAAAAAGAAAGAGAGTGATGGGGAAAGGGTAAGAAAGAGGAGAGGAGAGAGAATTATGCAAATATGAAAAGAAAGCAGGATTGTGTGACTGGAAACCTCAGGTGGCAGGTATAATTCTTAAAAGGTCAAACTTGGAGAGGGAGACATTGTGACCAGTGATTTAGAATCTCATTGCCTCTTTTCCTTCTTGTTATGGATTGAAGTGTGTCCTCCAAATGAGAATAAAATCCTAACCCCCAGAAACTGTGAGCGTGATCTTATTTTGAAATAAGGACTTTGCCAGTGATCAAATTAAGATGAGGTCATTAGGGTGGGAATTTATCTGTCTGGTGTCCTTATTAAAAAAGGAAAATTTGGACACAGAAATAGACATGGATAAAGGAAAGACATGAAACGACACAGGAGAAAGCCATCTACAGCCAACGAGTGCCTGAGGCTGCTGGGAACTCGGAGAGACCTCACAGACCTCAAGAGAAGCCACCATCCAGCACTTGACTTTGCACTCTAGCCACTCAAGAGCTATGAGACAATGCACTTCCCTTGTTTAAGGCATCCAGTTTGTGGCACTTTGTTATGGCAGCCCAGAGGAAAACACATTTCTTGAAAATTATATTTAAGAATTAAAAAGAACAAATCAGAATGCTGTCAAGATAGAAAACTCTGCTCTGCATGACTGAATTTTCTAAACATGTTTTGTTTTTGTAATGAATTGATAGAAAGAGTGGACACATAAATGTGATAGACTGGGTCATAACTCAAAAAGTTGAAGTCAAATTTTCTGATAAACAATGAAAATAAATACATGATTATCATATATTAAATAATAGGGCCAAAATACAAAAGCCCGGGGTCTTGTTGTTCTCAGGCAGCTTGGTGTGGACCAAGGGAGCTGAGGGCTCTTAAAACTGGCACAACCTCCTCTTTTTCAATTGAGGAAACTGAGACACAGAATAAATTACTTGGCCAAAAAATAGCTTTTAGCTTATAAAAGCAATTACATCGGCTATATGAACAGAAGCTTGACTGACCAAAACTTATTCCACATACTTTATTACACAATGTAATTGACTCAGAGACAGGCAACTTTGCCAATATGGTTTCCAAATCAGCCTAGGAGGCAAGGGCATTATGTTTCTTCCGTGAGACTGTCAGGTACAGTGAATAGCTGCATGTCATGTTTACTCACCTGAAAGGAGAAGGGTGATGATTATTGTCACCTTCATTACATTACTTTTTGTTTTGTTGTGTTTTAAGTATTTTATGCCCATAGGTTATTGGGGAACAGGTGGTGTTTGGTTACATGAGTATGTTTTTTAGTGGTGGTTTGTGAGATTTTGGTCACCCATCACCTGAGCAGTATACATTGTACCCAATTTGTAGTCTTTGATCCCTCCACCCCTTTCCACCCTTTCCCCCTGGGTCCTCAAAGTCCATTGTGTCATTCTTATGCCTTTTCATCCTCATAGCTTAGGTCTCACTTATGAGTGAAAACATATGATGTTTGGTTTTCCATTCCTGAGTTACTTCACTTAGAATAATAGTCTCCAATCTCATTCAGGTCACTGCAAATGCCATTAATTCATTCCTGTTTATGGCTGAGTAGTATTCCATCATATATATATATATATATATATATATACCACAGTTTTTTTATCCACTAATTGATAGATAAATCTATAAATGGTGGGCATTTGGGTTGGTTCCACGTTTTTGCAATTGCCAATTTTGCTGCTATAAACGTGTGTGCAAGTATCTTTTTCATATAACAACTTCTTTCCTCTGAGTAGATACCTAGTAGTGGGGTTGCTGGATCAAATGGTAGTTCAACTCTTAGTTCTTTAAGGAATCTCCACACTGTTTTTCATAGTAGTTGCACTAGTTTACATTCCCTCCAGCAGTGTAGATGTGTATCCTGTTCACTGCATCCATGCCAACATCTATTAATTTTTATTATGGCCATTCTTGCAGGAGTAAGGTGGTATCACATTGTGGTTTTGATTTGCATTTCCCTGATCATTAGTGCTATTGAGCATTTTTTCGTGATTGTTGGCCATTTTTATATCTTCTTTTGAGAATTGCCCATTCATGTCCTTAGCTCACTTTTTGACAGGATTGTTTGTTTATTCTTGCCAATTTGTTTGTTTGTTGTAGATTCTGGATATTAGTCCTTTGTCAGATGTATAGATTGTGAAGATTTTCTCCCACTTCGTGGGTTTTCTGCTTATACCACTGACTGTTCCTTTGCCATGCAAAAGTTATTTAGTTTAATGAAGTCCCAGCTATTTTTGTTTTAGTCCTTTGTCAGATGTATAGATTGTGAAGATTTTCTCCACACTAACTTCAGAATCAGTATGGTGTCCTCCCAGGAGCTGAGGACTACCAGAGGAGGGAACCAGTCAAGGTCAAAAATGAAGAAGGTCAAATCTCTTGTTCTCATCAGTAATGGAATCACCCCTGTGCATAGCCACTCACTCTAGCCTGGGAAACATAACAGGACCCTGTCTCAAAAATAAAATAATAATAATAATAATAATAATAATAATGAGAAAACATTAAAAGCATCCAAAGGAGTAGGAAAAATACATTATATACACAAGAATAAAGAAAAAAGTGACAGCAGATTTGGAAATAATCCATGCCAGAAGATATTTGATCAGCAAAGAATTGAAGAATACTATACTTACCTGTCAGGGGAGGTACCATGATCACGAAGATGGTTTTACCGGAACAAGTCTTATCTAGTGCACTCTGGATGTGCTGACCCCTGCAATTTCATCAAATGTGGGAAACTTGATTGCATATTTTTGGTAGTGGGGAATTGCATTTGCACTTTACCCTGGGTTGGGGGTGGGGCGAAGAAGAACACTAGAAATGGTAAATAAGAGGGTAAAAATAAAATACATTTTTTCTTATTTTGAGTCTCTTTAAAAAATAATTGGCTGTTTAAAACATATTTAAAATGATATATAATGGAGTTCATGGGGGTGGTAGAAATAAAATGCATAACAGCAATAGTACAAAGGCTCATGGGTGGTAGCGGTGGGGGCAGTGGTGAAAGGAAGTTTACTGTACCCGAAGTGGTATCAGATTACTAGGAGGTGGATTATGATAAGCTAAAGATATATACTATAAATCTAAAGATATAGGTATATATACTGTGTGTATATCTTTAGATGTATACTCTATACTATAATGATACATACTATAAAGATGTATACTAAAGATACAGATAAAGATGATTTTTCAGAGCAGCAATATTTATAGTAGCCAAAGAATGGAAAGAATTAAGATAGTCATCAATTGATTAGTAAATAAACAAAAGGTGATATATCTAAACAATGGAATATTACCAGTCACAAAAAAGAATGAAGTACTGATACATACTGCAATATAGATAAACCTTGAAAACATTATGCTCAGTGAAAGAAACCAGACAGAAAAAGACATGTCTTGAGTGAATTAATTTATATAAAATGTCCAGAATAGGCAAATCCATAGAGACAAAAATCAGATTACAGGTTTCCAAAGTATGGTGGGAGAGGGGGAAAGGGAGATTAAGGGTTTTAAATATTCTAGGACAGTCTTTTCTAACTTCAGATCTATACCATTATTTCTTAAGAAAGTTTTCTAACTACTAATTTTAAGGCACAGATCTTAAGCAAGAAAGTTTAACTGACAGGTTCAAATACAAGATTACCTAAAGCTTCTTATAAGTGAGAATGAGAATTTGAGCCCTAGAATGATGGTATGGAAATAGCAAAATAAAATAAAATACAAAAACAAATTACAGAAAAATGCATACAGCCCACCAATTCTGAAAATGGAAAAAATTACCAGACAATATTATACATTGTTAATGAACACATTTGAATGCATGTGGGAATATAAAAATTGAATTAGGAGGATACACATCAGACTCATGGAAGTGGAGAATAGGACTAGAAAAGGTGGTCAGATGGAATTTTAACTTTTCTATTTATTTTATTTATTTTGTTTAAAATGGACAAAGAAAAATACATCTTTCAGGGTATATACTCACGTAATCCTCACAGCAAGCCTATGAGATGGCACTCTTATTATCCCATATGAGAGATGAGACAGAAACCTATAGAGTGAAGGAAGAGCATAAGAACACACCCAGGGTTACACAGCCAGTGATGATAAGCCTGGAGGCTGCTCCCAGATTTAGACTCATTCTTACTTTATTTTGAAATATTGAATTATTTATTTTATCATGAAGACATTTTCTGTAAAAGAAAGCAGGGAAATGGTATAGTAACTGAAGGAATTGGTGCCAAGAATGGTGTGTTTTTTGTTTGTTGCTTGTTTTGAAACAGTAGAGTATGCAGTATGTTTTAAAGCTGATGGAAATGATCCTTAAGAACAGCAGAAAGTGGCTGGGTGCAGTGGCTTACACCTGTAATCCCAGCACTTTGGGAGGCCAAGGTGGGTGGATTGCTTGAGGTCAGGAGTTCAAGACCAGCCAACATGGTGAAATCCCATCTCTGCTAAAAATACAACAATTAGCTGGGCATGGTGGCACACACCTGTAATCCCAGCTACTAGGGAGGCTGAGGCAGGAGAATTGCTTCAACCTGAGAGGTGGAGGTTGCAGTGAGCTGAGATCATGCCACTGCACTCCAGTCTGGGTGACAGAGGGAGAATTCGTCTCAAAAAAAAAAAAAAATTATGACACTGGAGTGGGAGGGGACAATTTCAGGAGCAGAATCCTTAAGGGGAGATGGGATGCAGTGCCCCAGAGGAAGAGGTATCTTAGAAGGAAAAACACTGGAAGACCTTCCATTTAACAGGTAGAAGGTGGGAAACTATAATTTTCTACAAACAGGAAAGTAGGTTTTCAGATGGACAATGTGAAACAGAAAGTAAAGTCTTCAGCTTACTATGAGGAGAGAGGACATTGGACTGGGCTTTTGAAGAGATGGTAGAGATAAGAAATGTAGTTAGGGATGGAGACAGAGAAGAATTAGCAGGCTAAGGAAATGTAAGCAGATTGATAGGAAGTTCTGAAGGCCCACTAGAATTTTTAGTTACAAATTTTAAAATAAGACAAGTCAGCATAGTGGAATATTTTTCTCCTGCCATGATCAACTGTGTGGGTGCTGGTATTGAACATGTCAATCGTTGAATTTAGTCAGGTTAGGCAAAGCAATTATTCAAGAGTACAAATGAGTGTTAAATTTTGAAATATTAATCAATGTTTGCTAGCTGGACTGAAGAGAAGATTCAGGTAGATGGAACCAAATATGCAAAGCTATGAAAGAGTAAAATGTTATAGAGTATTCAGAAAACTACATGTAGGTCCATGTTGTTGGAACAAAAAATTAACATGCAGGAAGGGTGTCAGGAGACAATTCTCTACAGATACCGGTGGCCTAGTGTTTTCTGCTGGCAGGTAAATCTACTAAAATATCAGATAGAAAAAGGACTGCAGTGTCATATATGGCAAGAATATTGAAATTTACAGAGAGAACTATTGAAAATTTTTAATTAGAAGGATGATATGGCTAGTTTTGTGTTGTAGCGAGATTACCCTGGCAGCAGTGCAGCTATGTGGAGTCTATACTGGAGTTGTGAAAGATTACACATGTGGATACTGTGATAAGCAAAGTAATGGCCCTTCAAGGATATCAAATTTCCTTCAAGGATATCAAAGGCCTTCAAGGATCCTAATACCCAGAACCTGGGCATGAGTACTATACATGGCCAAATGGATTTTGCATATGTGATTAAGTTAAGGATCTTGGGATGGGTGGATTACCTGGGCAGGCCTAGTGTAGTGTGGTTTTATATCAGATAGAAAACGATTGCAGTGTCATATATGGTAAGAATATATAAGTCATTGATTTGGGGAATTTATTTTCATCCAAAAAAATTGGTATTGCATCTGGGACACTATTTTAATAGAATGCTAAAATATGTGTCATGGTTGAGTAGATAAAATTGATGTAAGATGTTGGAAAGACAGAGAGTCGTGCTGTTCAGTGGCAATAAACTTGAAAAGTCTTGGCTGACAATAATAAAGAAGTACTTGCCAAACTTGTAGCTCTAAGTTGGAATGTTTGTGTTAGCTTGTTACTGGCCATATTTAGCAAGTTATTCGAAGAAAGATGACCTTAGACATGAATTGATGCACGTGCCAGCAAAAATGAAAGGGAATAGACAGAATCCAGCTATTTGGGATTTCTCACAATTGGAAAATCCACATGATTCTAGAACTCAAACATGAATAGATAAAATTGAACAAAATTGAATAAAGTTGAACAACAACAAAAAAAATCCTTTACTCTTCTCAATTAAACAGAGTGACTCAGTCCTGGAACAAAATTTAGATTAAGGGTATTTCCTTCCCACCTCAACCTACTGTTTCAAATAAATTTAAGACAAGCACTTTTAAGTTAAGAGAAAGGCATGGGGCAAGAAAGTGAAGAAATAAAGCAGGCCTGAGAATGATAGGATAAAACTGTAAAGTTTTGGCATATGTAACTGCCTGGAAACAACAAGAAGAGGAACCTACTACGTTTTTAAAGAAGTTAAATTGCCAAAGAGCCCACAATTCTGAGCAAAAATGCAGTTGAATCTTTAAGCATTATCCTCAAATCCCACAGCTTGAACAAACAAAAACCTCAACAGAACCAAAGGGCATTCTCTAATGCTCACTCCACATATGGCCATGGAGGATACTGAGCAAGGAAGAACCACCTAGGTGTGCAGCCGGGGTCACAGAGAACCATGGGCTACTAGATTCCTACCACAGAGCTAGTTCAATATCTAATCAAGAATAATTTCAACTTTGCCAAGGACTGATGACTACTGTGTGACTCTCATTCTCCCCCTCCATCATTGCATTTCCCAAATGTCACCAGATAACTAGTTAATAAAGCAAAACTAAAATGTTTAGACCTTACATCAGTAAGAGAAAATATCACCTTGATGGAGGCTTAGCAGTGTCTCAGAAGGGAGAAATTAGAAGTGGAATATTTCTAGGGTTTCAGAGTCTGGGATCCATCGGTTTAAGGCAAGGTCAAGATGGAGAACCATTTGAGACAAATGTACTTAGGGCAAAGTACTATGTGACGTAATAGTTTAGGAATGGCTGACGCAATTGAAAGAAAGGTCTTGAACCAAAGACTTTATAAGTAAGTTGTTTTTATGGGCGAGTCATTTACCCAAGTGAGCAGACTATTGTGTTTGGGGGAAAAAATGATCTGTGGAAATTTCCTGAGGCAAACTGTGATGTTATTTCTTGATTTACAGACTTGTCCTTCCTAGTCAAAATTTTGCTGGAACAAGCAACCAATTGTGGTTTGCAATATTTACCTAAATCATATTGACATATAAGGCATAAATTCTCATTCTTCTAGCTATCCTGTTCCTGTCCACCCATGACAGGGGGGTCAGAGGTGCCTCTTAACTCAAATGTTGCCAACTTGTGAGGAGCCACATTCAAGCCTGGCGGAGAGAACTGCTCATGACCTAGAAATCTAGGATTATTAAGATGTAGCGATTGGAGGGACCATCTTACATAATCCAGTCCTACATGGCTTCTTGGAAAGAAAGAAGCTATACTGGGTTTAGAAAGAAGTTTGCACACAAATAATGACTGCCCAGTTGAGTAGATGTGCAAGAAACACTTCGTGGTCCACTTACATGGTGGACTATGTAAGATCACTAAAACTGTGTGCTTCCCCTCTGTTGAAAAGAATTATCACTGAGAATCAGCTGCCCACCCAGAGACCATGTTTCTCAGCTTTCTGTGTGACCAGGTGGAGCCTTGAGATAGTTTTCAACAATGTTACTATGATATGAGTGGAGATGATG